CTAATAAAAAAAAAAAATCATGTGTAAGGGGACTTAAACAGTTGGGAAAGTTAAAAATGTCCTTGATAGAGGAATAGAGCAAAAGTTCACACGTAGTTGGATTTGACCTATCAGGAGTTGAGAGGTCAATCGTAATAGCAAAACTTCAATTGTCGAATGAGGAGTGGCGAATGAAGAATTAGGTTTAGTCTGCGTTTGCTTGAAGTTAGTTTCTTAAGAACAAATTATCAGTTATTACTTTTGGTGTGTTGTTCTGAGTCTGGGTTGGTCACGTGTCATTTCGGTGTCTCAAGCTCTTCTCGCTCTCAGCTGAAAATGTTCAGTGAGATCTAGTTGTTAATCACGTACTACGCTTAAATTCATGTAGTTGAGGTATGAAGGAGGAAAGCTCATTGACATGAAAATTTTAGTAGAAAAGACAGAGATAAGTCATGTCAAGAATGTTAAGGTATCAGATCAAGACCGATTATATTATAGACCCTTCTTTTGATTTTGTCAAGAATCGAGATATACACCATTGGAGCACCAGACCAGATATGACAGTAATATTTAATATAGGGACGAATGTTAGCTTTATAAATATGCAAGATGGAATCTGATGCGAAAAAAAAAAGTCTGGCACGACACAGTGAATTAAAATTCCTGGCAGCAGACTTATTGATTCAATATAATATTTCCACTTCATATAGAAAACGTGAGCCCAAGAAAACACAATGAGTTGCTCTCCTGAAGTTTAGCATCATTCATGTTGACAGGAGGCAGAACAGTTTCTCTCTGTGGTGATTAAAGGATAGTTTTGTTTTGGAGGCAGTAGAATTTACAAATCCTTCCTTAACAACTGATTCAACGTAATTTCGAGAGCAGCTACCAGTTTTACTTTATTAGACTATCTACTAAGACATGAACAAATAGTCGTGTCACCAGCATAAATTATCAACTAGGAACCGATGACATCGAGAATATCGTTGAAGAAGATAACATCGGTCCAAGGATAGCGTCTTGGGGAACCCTGGCATTAATATGAAATGATAGCCACGGTCAGCAAGAGTACATTTTTAGAATAAATTACTGGGTAAGAAATGCCGCAAATGAAAAAAACATTATGTATTCTTAGTCATAATACAGGCGTCGACCTTATCTATTGATGGAATAAGAACATTTTATTTTTAGTTTTTGATATTGACACCTTAGATTGGTCCCTTAGATATGCAGCCATTCCAAAATTTGATAATTCTCAAAGAATTATTATGTCAACATTGTTAAGATGTTATTTAACTTTTGTAGGTCAAATGACTAAGCGCCATGTATTTTTATTACGTCAGATTATCAAGTTTAGTTTATTTGTTCAGCAACAGTGCAGCGAACGCGCGTTATTACAGACGCAAAAGAGATCTTGTTTGTCAACACTAGTTACACCCGGGATTTTCCCTTAGAAACGGGACAGTTTGACATGTCTAGATACGAGGCTCTTTGCAACTGGTCTTTGTAAGATGCCTCATGCCAATAAAAGTAAGGAGAAAACCAGCAGTTGGCAAGACACAGTATTTTGTGCCTCTCCACTCAAAAGAAAGCCCTCTTGGGTTCCCTATTTAAGATTGCCTCCGTCGATGGAAAGTCGGTGGAGGACCCACATAATTTCCCCAAAGCCTCAGGTGTGTAAGATAGGGGGAATTAAGTGTGGTCCCACCTGTTCGAGGCGAAGGACGCCTTCCCAGATCTACGCATCGCCCAGATGGGAACCCCTGAACTTAAAAAAAAAAAAAAATCTTAATATTTTGTGCAGGGAGGGCCCAGGTGCTTCTCCAATTCACTCTATATAGAGCGTTAAAACTAACGCATCCTATGGACGTTGCTGTCCTGGACCCCAAGATAGACCGTGTCATAGAGAGCTTCGAAAGCTATACTTGGCGAGTTACCGACATGCCTCGAGGTTGGCTTTCCTACGCAGCCCGTTGACTGAGAATTCGGTCTTGAGGGGGAGTGTGAGAGCAGCATTCCATCGACTTACTATCACTTCTGCTTCTAGGGCTGATTGCCATCGTAGGCCCCGGGATCAGTCTGATTTCCTCCCCGAGTGCCGATCGACCTTGAGGGTCATTCATCGGGCCAGTGTCCTTTCTCGGCCTAGGCTAGTCTTGTATCAGGAATTAGTGGGAGGGGTAGTGAAGGATCCGCTCTGCAGTCGGTTCGGTTTGTTGGTGGACGAGTTTCGCTCGTTTTGGTCTTGGGCACCAGCGGCGGATTATCTCAACAACCCGAGTTTTTGCTTGCCTGGCGATTGGTTCACAATCGGCTATCTCTCAGCGACATAACTTTCAAATGGGGCTTGGTGGATTTGCCTGTTATCGGTATGACCTTACCTTAGATGAAACGGCTTCGCACGCATTGTCCTCGGGTGCACCCCACTTTGAGACTACGTTAGCGAGTTGATTTCTCGTATTGCTCCCGAAAAACACGTGCTCATGGATTTCGCATATGTGTGTAACAATGTGTCGCTCCGTTTTCTGGGGTGAAACGGATGATGTTTCTGGCGCAGCTAGCCGTGGCTATAATGGTAATTTGGACGACGCGAAAGGAGTAAATCTTGCGATGTGAACGCTATTCTCATCAGGATATGATCAGCTTCTTTGAGGAACAGCTCTAAGTGAAGATTAGAACTGATAGTAAACATTTGGTATCGACAGATGTCAGTAAAAAGTGGGTAATTGTGGCGAGCCTGGTTCGCATGAACGGGGCTAGCCATGATTTTGCCCCCTAAATCACAAGGACGGTTTCCTGTGGAGCCATCACACTCTTCTTGTGTACCTAGTCAATGTTTTAAGTGTTGTTCCCGGCCTGTTCCCAGCCTGTTCCCAGCTTCTTATGGTTATGATCCTAGTCGAGATTCCCAACCTCCCCAGTTTGTTTTGTAATGAAAGAATGGGTTGTGAATATGATTAGCTAGGTATATGATAGCTAGTCTGGACTAGCCTTATCCCAACTCCCTCTTTTCGGCCTTGTGCGAAAAATTACTGGATTCAGTCAGTAATAAATTGTAGACATGGTGTCCTGTGAAGTCGGGTCTCATGGGCATTTTTGTTTCTAAAGTTAGTGTGATTTCTGAGGCAGTATTATTTTTGTTACCTCCCGTCTCTTTTCCCTCTCTTCCTATGACCCCGTAGTTGTTGGGAGAGCAATCGGTTAGGTGGCCTCCTCCCATCATCTCAACATACTCTTTGCTTACATTACAACAACCAGGTTACGTGTCACGCGACTAAATGGCGCCTATTTTCACTTTTTTCCTATCGTAGAATTCTAACACATTTAAAAAAATATAAAATTATATAATCAGAGGTTAAAGCTAAGGAAGTGTGAATTAAATTAATAGAAATCAAATCCTAAACTTACAGAAAAATACGAAAAACAAGACTGTGTCTGTTTAATTACATTTTTATTACATTCAGTAGACAACTGTGTGAACCTTTGCAAGCAACATGAGGGAAGACTGCCAATGGTAAAGTTCGACAATCAGTTATTTGGTGCTAAAAATGGTGCATAACCTTTGTTTTTGACATGTTACTTCTCACGTGGTACGTTAATGCTATCACTGGAAAAAGGGTATTTTAAAAATTATGCATATACTGTTTATTTTTGTTTTTATAACAAAGCCAATTACATGCATGAATGCATCTACAAATATTCTGAGTTAGAATGGCATAAAAGTTTCGTCTTTTAGTAAGACTACAAGATATCACGAACAAAATTTGAGACACCATTGATTTTAATGAGAAATGTGGCATCTTTCTCGACTACAAGTGTATTCTGAAGACTTTCAAAATATTTTTCTAAGTGTTCGTCAGTCAAAGAAGAACGTTGATTGCTCTTGTTTATGTTCATAAAAGAATGTCTTCACAAATGTAGGTACTTCCAAAAATGGTGAACATTTACATCACAAGTTGAATATTTCTTCCTGTTCATATTTTTGTAAGATCCTTGCAGGCTGCTTTCTTCTTTGCTTTGTCTTGTAAACAGAGGAAGCTTGAAGTTCAATAACCTCCAACTGGAAATTTGTGGGTACTTTTTCTGTGTTAATAGAGACTAAACTAAATGTTTTTTGAAAAGTAATTCTTGTCAGATTCTAAGATAAGAATTGTAATATGCTCAGCATATATTGTTTCCGACTGAACATATCAGCTTTTAGGAATGCTGCGCACAGGTAAGAAATAGATGCATTACACGTTTCATCTTACTTATAAAGTTAAAAGGTTTCAGTATCATTTCAATAAGTACAATCTCAGCTACCATATTTTGCCTAGCTATGAATATGATAATTAAAACCCCAAAAGGAGATTTCAGAGACCCGGTTATTAAATCTGAACTAAGGCAACCTCCGATAAGAGATTATATGGATGACATGAGAATAACAGCCACAACTATTACTAGTGCAAAATGGCTGTTAAAGGGGATTGAAAAGTACAACATATGGCCCCGAATGAGTTTCAACACGTCGAAATCAAGGTTGCTCTTTTTTTAAAAAAAGGCGAATTATCGGAGAAGGAGTGGTTCAGACTATCTGAAGAATACATTGCAACAATTAAAGAAAAGCGCATAAAGAGTCTAGGAAAACGCATTGATCTCTCTCTGTAAAAGACGCGACAGCGATCCAGGAAAATAAGGATAAGCTAGAAATGTGGTTAAAAAGAGTTGATAAGTCCGGCTTGTCTGGCCGCTTTAAGATATGGATCTATCAGCATTCCATTCTCCTGGAAATCCTATGGCCATTGTTCATCTATGAATTTACAACATTTCATATAGAACAACTAGAAAATAGGATGAACTTACGATTGTGTAGATGTCTAGGTCTACAGAAAAATCTGACTAGCTGCCTTATATGGTAATTCCAAGACACTTCAACTTCATTTCAGCAAACTAGAAGAGGAATTTAAAGTCACCAAAGTAAGAACAAAAATGCAGTATAAGTTCTCCAAAAATCGAAAGGTGGCTGGAGCGGGTATCAGAGTCTACTCAGGAAGGAAATAGAAAGCAGAAAAAGAATTGCTAGTAGAACGACTTCGAGAAAAAGCATTATTAGGGGCCGTAGCTAGGCGACATGGAGGCTTAGGGTATTTCCCTAACGTTCCGGTGCACAGGGCTAAAGGAAAAGAAAAGAACTTTCTCATACAAGAGGAAATACGCAAGGATGAAGAGGAGAAAATTTTGACAACAAGGAGCAAGGACCAAATGGGGATCCAGGACTTATAAGCAGATCAAATGATATGACATATAGCGTAACGATACCGGTATAAGGTTCTCAATTCAGACCGTATACGACATCCTCCCCAGTCTCTTTAATCTTCAATACATAACGGAATCGGTCTTATGTCCATTGTGCACACATCAACGGCCGTTAAAATACATTCTAAGTAGCTGTCAAACAGCGCTAACGGAAGGTCGGTACAGATGGTGACCTGATGGATATAGTAGAAGTAGTCAGCATGGCCATCGGTACTAATACATTAAATCCTGACAAAAGAGCGATAGAGTTTCTTAAAGCTGTTAACTTAACACAAAGAAGTTCACAGCAAATACTTTGTCATTTGCAACGGACTGGGAATTAAGGGCTGATTTAGGAACAAAACTAAGATTCCCGGATCAAGAACACAATATATGTTATTCAAATATTAATACGACCAGATATTGTGTTCTTCTCAAATAAAGAAAATAATAATGTTGGAATTAAGAGTGCCTTGGGAAGAGCATGCAGAAGAAGCCTATGAAAGGAAGCATCTGAAATATGATGTGTAACTAACGAGTTTCAAAATTAATTGATGGAAAGCAAGCTGTCTACCAATCGAAGTGGACGTAAGAAGTTTTGCACCAAGGTCCTTATGCAAAGCCCTAACTGATATTGGCTTGGTAGGATCTAAGAAAAGGAAAGGCGATTCAATTAATGGATGGAAAGCCAGCTGTCTGCCAATCGAAGTGAACGCAAGAAGTTTTGAACCAAGCTTCTTATGCAAAGCCCTAACTGATATTGGCTTGGTAGGATCTAAGAAAAGGAAAGGCGATTCAATTAATGGATGGAAAGCCAGCTGTCTGCCAATCGAAGTGGACGCAAGAAGTTTTGAACCAAGCTTCTTATGCAAAGCCCTAACTGTTATTGGCTTGGCAGGATCTAAGAAAAGGAAAGGCGATTCAATTAATGGATGGAAAGCCAGCTGTCTGCCAATCGAAGTGGACGCAAGAAGTTTTGAACCAAGCTTCTTATGCAAAGACCTAACTGATATTGGCTTGGTAGGATCTAAGAAAAGGAAAGGCGATTAAATTAATGGATGGAAAGCCAGCTGTCTGCCAATCGAAGTGGACGCAAGAAGTTTTGCACCAAGGTCCTTATGCAAAGCCCTAACTGATATTGGCTTGGTAGGATCTAAGAAAAGGAAAGGCGATTCAATTAATGGATGGAAAGCCAGCTGTCTGCCAAACGAAGTGGACGCAAGAAGTTTTGAACCAAGCTTCTTATGCAAAGCCCTAACTGATATTGGCTTGGCAGGATCTAAGAAAAGGAAAGGCGATTCAATTAATGGATGGAAAGCCAGCTGTCTGCCAATCGAAGTGGACAAGAAGCCCTAAGAAGTTTTGAACCAATTAATGGATGGAAAGCTTCTGCGAAGTGGACCAATCGATGCAAAGCCCTAAATGATATTGGCTTGGTAGGATCTAAGAAAAGGAAAGGCGATTCAATTAATGGATGGAAAGCGAGCTGTCTGCCAATCGAAGTGGACGCAAGAAGTTTTGAACCAAGCTTCTTATGCAAAAAAGCCCTAACTGATATTGGTCTTCGGGGATCTAAGAAAAGGAAAAAAGGCGATTCAATTAATGGATGGAAACGAAGAAGCCAGCTGTCTGCCAATCGATATTGGCTGGACGAAAAGGAAAGATGAAATTAATGGATGGAAAGTTTTCGAACCAAGAAGTTTTGAACCAAGCTTCTTATGCAAAGCCCTAACTGATATTGGCTTGGTAGGATCTAAGAAAGGAAAGGCGATTCAATTAATGGATGGAAACCGAGCTGTCTGCCAATCGAAGTGGACGAAAGAAGTTTTGAACCAAGCTTCTTATGCAAAGCCCTAACTGATATTGGCTTGGTAGGATCTAAGAAAAGGAAAGGCGATTCAATTAATGGATGGAAAGCCAGCTGTCTGCCAATCGAAGTGGACGCAAGAAGTTTTGAACCAAGGTCTTATGCAAAGCCCTAACTGATATTGGCTTGGTAGGATCTAAGAAAAGGAAAGGCGATTCAATTAATGGATGGAAAGCAAGCTGTCTGCCAATCGAAGTGGAACTCAATCGAAGCTGTCTGCCAATGGACGAAGTTTTGAACAAGAAGTTTTGAACCGAAATTAATGGATGGAAAGCTTCTGCCAATCATGGACAAAGCCCCTTAACTGATATTGGCTTGGTAGGATCTAAGAAAAGGAAAGGCGATTCAATTAATGGATGGAAAGCAAGCTGTCTGCCAATCGAAGTGGACGCAAGAAGTTTTGAACCAAGCTTCTTATGCAAAGCCCTAACTGATATTGGCTTGTTAGGATCTAAGAAAAGGAAAGGCGATTCAATTAATGGATGGAAAGCCAGCTGTCTGCCAATCGAAGTGGACGCAAGAAGTTTTGAACCAAGCTTCTTATGCAAAGCCCTAACTGATATTGGCTTGGTAGGATCTAAGAAAAGGAAAGGCGATTCAATTAATGGATGGAAAGCAAGCTGTCTGCCAATCGAAGTGGACTCAAGATGTTTTGAACCAAGCTTCTCATGCCCTAACTTATATTGGCTTGGTAGGATCTCAGAAAAGGAAAGGCGATTTAATTAATGGATGGAAAGCAAGCTGTCTGCCAATCGAAGTGGACTCAAGATGTTTTGAACCAAGGTCCTCATGCCCTAACTGATATTGGCTTGGTAGGATCTCAGAAAAGGAAAGATGATTCAATTAATGGATGGAAAGAAAGCTGTCTGCCAATCGAAGTGGACTCAAGATGTTTTGAACCAAGCTCCTTATGCAAAGCCCTAACTGATATTGGCTTGGTAGGATCTCAGAAAAGTAAAGGCGATTCAATTAATGGATGGAAAGCAAGCTGTCTGCCAATCGAAGTGGACGCAAGAAGTTTTGAACCAAGGTCCTTATGCAAAGGCCTAATTGATATTGGCTTGGTAGGATCTAAGAAAAGGAAAGGCGATTCAATTAATGGATGGAAAGCAAGCTTTCTGCAAATCGAAGTGGACGAAGAAGGAACGCAAAAGCCCTAACTGATATTTGAGGACCAAAAAGGTTCAATTGGATGGAAAGCCCTCGAAGTGGATATTTTTGGGTCCTTGGTAACTATATTGTTTGGCAGGATCTAAGAAAAGGAAAGGCGATTCAATTAATGGATGGAAAGGCAGCTGTCTGCCAATCGAAGTGGACGCAAGAAGTTTTGAACCAAGGTCCTGCAAAGCCCTAACTGATATTGGCTTGCAGGATCTAAGAAAAGGAAAGGCGATTCAATTAATGGATGGAAAGCCAGCTGTCTGCCAATCGAAGACGCAAGAAGTTTTGAACAAGCTTTATTCAAAGCCCCAACTGATATTGGCTTGCAGGATCTAAGAAAAGGAAAGGCGATTCAATTAATGGATGGATAAACCAAGGCATTCAATTGGATGGAAAGCCCTAAATGATATTTTGGCTTGGCCCTAGGATCTAAGAAAAGGAAAGGCGATTCAATTAATGGATGGAAAGCCAGCTGTCTGCCAATCGAAGTGGACGTAAGAAGTTTTGAACCAAGCTTCTTATGCAAAGCCCCTAACTGATATTGGCTTGGTAGGATCTAAGAAAAGGAAAGGCGATTCAATTAATGGATGGAAAGCCAGCTGTCTGCCAATCGAAGTGGACGCAAGAAGTTTTGAACCAATTTATTCAAAGCCCTAACTGATATTGACTTGTAGGATCAAGAAAAGGAAAGGCGATTTAATGGATGGAAAGCCAGCTGTCTGCCAATCGAAGTGGACGCAAGAAGTTTTGAACCAAGCTTCTTGCAAAGCCCTAACTGATATTGGCTTGGTAGGATCTAAGAAAAGGAAAGGCGATTCAATTAATGGATGGAAAGCCAGCTGTCTGCCAATCGAAGTGGACGCAAGAAGTTTTGAACCAAGCTTCTTATGCAAAGCCCTAACTGATATTGGCTTGGTAGGATCTAAGAAAAGGAAAGGCGATTCAATTAATGGATGGAAAGCGAGCTGTCTGCCAATCGAAGTGGACGCAAGAAGTTTTGAACCAAGCTTCTTATGCAAAGCCCTAACTGATATTGGCTTGGTAGGATCTAAGAAAAGGAAAGGCGATTCAATTAATGGATGGAAAGCCAGCTGTCTGCCAATCGAAGTGGACGCAAGAAGTTTTGAACCAAGCTTCTTATGCAAAGCCCTAACTGATATTGGCTTGGTAGGATCTAAGAAAAGGAAAGGCGATTCAATTAATGGATGGAAAGCTAGCTGTCTGCCAATCGAAGTGGACGCAAAAGTTTTGAACCAAGCTTCTTATGCAAAGCCCGATAACTGATATTGGCTTGGTAGGATCTAAGAAAAGGAAAATTCAATTAATGGATGGAAATGTCTGCCAATTAAGTGGACGCAAGAAGTTTTGCACCAAGGTTCTTATTCAAAGCCCTAACTGATATTGGCTTGGTGGATCTAAGAAAAGGAAAGGCGATTCAATTAATGGATGGAAAGCCAGCTGTCTGCCAATCGAAGTGGACGCAAGTTTTGAACCAAGCTTCTTGCAAAGCCCTAACTGATATTGGCTTGGTAGGATCTAAGAAAAGGAAAGGCGATTCAATTAATGGATGGAAAGCCAGCTGTCTGCCAATCGAAGTGGACGCAAGAAGTTTTGAACCAAGCTTCTTATGCAAAGCCCTAACTGATATTGGCTTTGGTAGGATCTAAGAAAAGGAAAGGCGATTCAATTAATGGATGGAAAAAAGCTGTCTGATATTGGCAATCAATTAATGGATGGACCAGCGTTCTGCCAAGAAGTGGACGCAGCAGTTTTGAACCAAGCTTCTTATGCAAAGCCCTAACTGATATTGGCTTGGCAGGATCTAAGAAAAGGGCGACTAAGAAAGGAAAGGATTCAATTAATGGATGGAAAGCCAGCTGTCTGCCAATCGAAGTGGACGCAAGAAGTTTTTGAACCAAGCTTCTTATGCAAAGCCCTAACTGATATTGGCTTGGTAGGATCTAAGAAAAGGAAAGGCGATTCAATTAATGGATGGAAAGCCAGCTGTCTGCCAATCGAAGTGGACGCAAGAAGTTTTGAACCAAGCTTTATGCAAAGCCCTAACTGATATTGGCTTGGTAGGATCTAAGAAAAGGAAAGGCGATTCAATTAATGGATGGAAAGCCAGCTGTCTGCCAAACGAAGTGGACGCAAGAAGTTTTGAACCAAGCTTCTTATGCAAAGCCCTAACTGATATTGGCTTGGTAGGATCTAAGAAAAGGAAAGGCGATTCAATTAATGGATGGAAAGCCAGTCTGTCGCAAGAAGTTTTGAACCAAAAGCCCTCTGATATTGGCTGGACGCAAGGCGATTCAATTAAGTTTTGAACCAACCAAGCTTCTTAAAGACCCAACTGATATTGGCTTGGTAGGATCTAAGAAAAAGGAAAGGCGATTCAATTAATGGATGGAAAGCTGTCTGCCAATCGAAGTGGACGCAAGAAGTTTTGAACCATTAACTGATATTGGCTTGGTAGGATCTAAGAAAAGGAAAGGCGATTCAATTAATGGATGGAAAGCCAGCTGTCTGCCAATCGAAGAAAAGGACGCAAGAAGTTTTGAACCAAGCTTCTTATGCAAAGCCCTAACTGATATTGGCTTGGTAGGATCTAAGAAAAGGAAAGGCGATTCAATTAATGGATGGAAAGCCAGCTGTCTGCCAATCGAAGAAGTGGACGCAACTGAAGTTTTGACCAAGCTTCTTAATGGATGGAAAGCCCTAACGAAGTGATATTGGCTTGGTAGGATCTAGAAAAAGGAAAGGCGATTCAATTAATGGATGGAAAGCCAGCTGTCTGCCAATCGAAGTGGACGCAAGAAGTTTTGAACCAAGTCCTTCTGATATTGGCTTGGTAGGATCTAAGAAAAGGAAAGGATGATTCAAAGGATGGAAAGCGAGCTGTCCCAACTGATATTGGCCCTAACTGATAGGATCTAAGAAAAGGAAAGGCGATTCAATTAATGGATGGAAAGCCAGCTGTCTGCCAATCGAAGTGGACGCAAGAAGTTTTGAACCAAGCTTCTTATGCAAAGCCCTAACTGATATTGGCTTGGTAGGATCTAAGAAAAGGAAAGGCGATTCAATTAATGGATGGAAAGCTAGCTGTCTGCCAATCGAAGTGGACGAAAGAAGTTTTGAACCAAGCTTCTTATGCAAAGCCCTAACTGATATTGGCTTGGTAGGATCTAAGAAAAGGAAAGGCGATTCAATTAATGGATGAAAAGCCAGCTGTCTGCCAATCGAAGTGGACGCAAGAAGTTTTGAACCAAGCGTCTTATGCAAAGCCCTAACTGATATTGGCTTGGTAGGATCTAAGAAAAGGAAAGGCGATTCAATTAATGGATGGAAAGCGAGCTGTCTGCCAATCGAAGTGGACGCAAGAAGTTTTGAACCAAGCTTCTTATGCAAAGCCCTAACTGATATTGGCTTGGTAGGATCTCAGAAAAGGAAAGGCGATTTAATTAATGGATGGAAAGCAAGCTGTCTGCCAATCGAAGAAAGAAGTTTTGAACCAAGTTTACGCCCTAACTGATATTGTTTTGGAGGACTAAGAAAAGGAAGGCGATTCAATTAATGGATGGAAAGCCAGCTGTCTGCCAATCGAAGTGGACAAGAAGTTTTGAACCAAGCTAACAAAGCCCTAACTGATATTGGCTTGGTAGGATCTAAGAAAAGGAAAGGCGATTCAATTAATGGATGGAAAACCAGCTGTCTGCCAATCGAAGTGGACGCAAAGAAGTTTTGAACCAAGCTTCTCAAAGCCCTAACTGATATTGGCTTGGTAGGATCTAAGAAAAGGAAAGGCGATTCAATTAATGGATGGAAAGCCAGCTGTCTGCCAATCGAAGTGGACGTGCAAGATGTTTTGAACCAAGGTCTTATGCAAAGCCCTAACTGATATTGGCTTGGTAGGATCTAAGAAAATGGATGGAAAGCAAGCTGTTCAATTAATGGATGGAAAAGGTCCTCAGCTAACTGTCTTGCCAATCTAGAAAGGAAAAAAGATGATTCAATTAATGTGGACGCAAGAAGTTTTGAAACCAAGCTTCTTATGCAAAGCCCTAACTGATATTGGCTTGGTAGGATCTAAGAAAAGGAAAGGCGATTCAATTAATGGATGGAAAGCAAGCTGTCTGCCAATCGAAGTGGACGCAAGAAGTTTTGAACCAAGGTCCTATGCAAAGCCCTAACTGATATTGGCTTGGTAGGATCTAAGAAAAGGAAAGGCGATTCAATTAATGGATGGAAAGCCAGCTGTCTGCCAATCGAAGTGGACGCAAGAAGTTTTGAACCAAGGTCCTTATGCAAAGCCCTAACTGATATTGGCTTGGTAGGATCTAAGAAAAGGAAAGGCGATTCAATTAATGGATGGAAAGCCAGCTGTCTGCCAATCGAAGTGGACAAGATGTTTTGAACCAAGGTTCAAAAGCCTAACTGATATTGGCTTGGGGATCTAAGAAAAGGAAAAGCGATTCAATTAATGGATGGAAAGCCAGCTGTCTGCCAATCGAAGTGGACGCAAGAAGTTTAGAACCAAGGTCCTTATGCAAAGCCCTAACTGATATTGGCTTGGTAGGATCTAAGAAAAGGAAAATGGATGGAAAGCAGCTTCAATTAATGGATGGAAAGCCAACGCAAGAAGTTTTGAACCAAGCTTCTTATGCAAAGCCCTAACTGATATTGGCTTGGTAGGATCTAAGAAAAGGAAAGGCGATTCAATTAATGGATGGAAAGCCAGCTGTCTGCCAATCGAAGTGGACGCAAGAAGTTTTGAACCAAGCTTCTTATGCAAAGCCCTAACTGATATTGGCTTGGTAGGATCTAAGAAAAGGAAAGGCGATTCAATTAATGGATGGAAAGCCAGCTGTCTGCCAAACGAAGTGGACGCAAGAAGTTTTGAACCAAGCTTCTTATTCAAAGCCCTAACTGATATTGGCTTGGTAGGATCTAAGAAAAGGAAAGGCGATTCAATTAATGGATGGAAAGCCAGCTGTCTGCCAATCGAAGTGGACGCAAGATGTTTTGAACCAAGCTTTATGCAAAGCCCTAACTGATATTGGCTTGGTAGGATCTAAGAAAAGGAAAGGCGATTCAATTAATGGATGGAAAGCCAGCTGTCTGCCAATCGAAGTGGACGCAAGAAGTTTTGAACCAAGCGTTCCCTTATGCAAAGCCCCAACTGATATTGGCTTGGTAGGATCTAAGAAAAGGAAAGGCGATTCAATTAATGGATGGAAAGCCAGCTGTCTGCCAATCGAAGAAGTGGACGCAAAACTGATTTTTGAACCAAGGAAAGGCGATTCAATTAATGGATGCAAAGCCCTAACTGATATTGGCTTGGTAGGAGTGGAAGAAAAGGAAAGGCGATTTTGAAATGGATGGAAAGCCAGCTGTCTGCCAATCGAAGTGGACGAAAGAAGTTTTGAACCAAGGTCCTTAACAAAGCCCTAACTGATATTGGCTTGGTAGGATCTAAGAAAAGGAAAGGCGATTCAATTAATGGATGGAAAGCCAGCTGTCTGCCAATCGAAGTGGACGCAAGAAGTTTTGAACCAAGCTTTTATGCAAAGCCCTAACTGATATTGGCTTGGTAGGATCTAAGAAAAGGAAAGGCGATTCAATTAATGGATGGAAAGCCAGCTGTCTGCCAATCGAAGTGGACGCAAGAAGTTTGAACCAAGCTTCTTATGCAAAGCCCTAACTGATATTGGCTTGGTAGGATCTCAGAAAAGGAAAAGGCGATTCAATTAATGGATGGAAAGCCAGCTGTCTGCCAATCGAAGTGGACGCAAGATGTTTTGAACCAACTCGCGTCCTATGCAAAGCCCCACTGATATTGGCTTGGTAGGATCTCAGAAAGGAAAGGCGATTCAATTAATGGATGGAAAGCAAGCTGTCTGCCAATCGAAGTGGACTCAAGATGTTTTGAACCAAGCTTCTTATGCAAAGCCCTAACTGATATTGGCTTGGTAGGATCTCAGAAAAGGAAAGGCGATTCAATTAATGGATGGAAAGCAAGCTGTCTGCCAATCGAAGTGGACGCAAGAAGTTTTGAACCAAGGTCATAACTGATATTGGCTTGGTAGGATCTCAGAAAAGCCAAAGGCGATTCAATTAATGGATGGAAAGAAAGCTGTCTGCCAATCGAAGTGGACTCAAAAGATGTTTGAACCAAGGTTTTATGCAAAAGCCCAATATTGGCTTAATGGTAGATCTCAGAAAGGAAAAGGCGATTCTGCCAATGGATGGAAAAGCCCCAATCCCTAAATATTGGACGTAAGAAAAGGAAAAGGATTTTAATGGAAACAAGCTTGAAGTTTTGAACAAAGGTCCCTAACTGATATTGGCTTGCAGGATCTAAGAAAAGGAAAGGCGATTCAATTAATGGATGGAAAGCCAGCTGTCTGCCAATCGAAGTGGACGCAAGAAGTTTTGAACCAAGGTTCTTATGCAAAGCCCTAACTGATATTGGCTTGGTAGGATCTAAGAAAAGGAAAGGCGATTCAATTAATGGATGGAAAGCCAGCTGTCTGCCAATCGAAGTGGACGCAAGAAGTTTTGAACCAAAGCTTTCTTATGCAAAGCCCAACTGATATTGGCTTGGTAGGATCTAAGAAAAGGAAAGGCGATTCAATTAATGGATGGAAAGCCAGCTGTCTTTCGAAGTGGACGCAAGAAGTTTGAACCAAGCTTCTTATGCAAAAGCCCTAACTGATATTGGCTTGGTAGGATCTAAGAAAAGGAAAGGCGATTCAATTAATGGATGGAAAGCCTGCTGTCTGCCAATCGAAGTGGACGCAAGAAGTTTTGAACCAAGCTTCTGCATAAAGCCCTAACTGATATTGGCTTGGTAGGATCTAAGAAAAGGAAAGGCGATTCAATTAATGGATGGAAAGCCAGCTGTCTGCCAATCGAAGTGGACGCAAAGAAGTTTTGAACTGCTTTTTGCCTAACTGATATTGGCTTGGTCTAAGAAAAGGAAAGGCGATTCAATTAATGGATGGAAAGCCAGCTGTCTGCCATTCGAAGCGGACGCATCATTGGACGTTTTGAACCAAAGGAAAGGATTCATGGAAAGCCCTAAGTGGACTGATATTGGCCCTTGATATTGGCTTAGGATCTAAGAAAAGGAAAGGCGATTCAATTAATGGATGGAAAGCCAGCTGTCTGTGCCAATCGAAGTGGACGCAAGAAGTTTTGAACCAAGCTTCTTATGCAAAGCCCTAAGATATTGGCTTGGTAGGATCTCCAGAAAAGGAAAGGCGATTCAATTAATGGATGGAAAGCCAGCTGTCTGCCAATCGAAGTGGACTCAAGATGTTTTGAACCAAGCTTCTATGCAAAGCCCTAACTGATATTGGCTTGGCAGGATCTAAGAAAAGGAAAGGATGATTCAATTAATGGATGGAAAGCAAGCTGTCTGCCAATCGAAGTGGACTCAAGATGTTTTGAACCAAGGTTCTCATGCCCTAACTGATATTGGCTTGGTAGGATCTAAGAAAAGGAAAGGCGATTCAATTAATGGATGGAAAGCGAGCTGTCTGCCAATCGAAGTGGACTCAAGATGTTTTGAACCAAGCTCCTATGCAAAGCCCTAACTGATATTGGCTTGGTAGGATCTAAGAAAAGGAAAGGCGATTCAATTAATGGATGGAAAGAAAGCTTTCAAATCGAAGTGGACTCAAGAAGTTTTGAACCAAAGTCCTCAAAGCCCTAACTGATATTGGCTTGGTAGGATCTCAAGAAAAGGAAAGGCGATTCAATTAATGGATGGAAAGCTAGCTGTCTGCCAATCGAAGTGGACTCAAGATGCCCTTTTGGCTTGGTAACCAAGGCCAATGATGGAAAGCAATCCCATGCCCCCTAACCTGATATTGGCTTGGCAGGATCTAAGAAAAGGAAAGGCGATTCAATTAATGGATGGAAAGCAAGCTGTCTGCCAATCGAAGTGGACGTAAGAAGTTTTGAACTAAGCTTTTTGCAAAGCCCTAACTGATATTGGCTTGGTAGGATCTAAGAAAAGGAAAGGCGATTCAATTAATGGATGGAAAGCGAGCTGTCTGCCAATCGAAGTGGACGCAAGATGTTTTGAACCAAGCTTTATTGCAAAAGCCCTAACTGATATTGGCTTGGTAGATCTAAGAAAAGGAAAGGCGATTAAATTAATGGATGGAAAGCCAGCTGTCTGCCAATCGAAGTGGACGCAAGTAGTTTTGAACCAAGCTTTATGCAAAGCCCTAACTGATATTGGCTTGGTAGGATCTCTCAGAAAGAAAAGGATTCAATTAATGGATGGAAAGCGAGCTGTCTGTAATCGATGGATGGTTTTGAACCAAGCGATGCAAAGCCCTAACTGATATTGGCCAAGAAAAGGAAAGATTCAATTAATGGATGGAAAGCGCTGTCCAATCGAAGTGGACGCAGATGTTTTGAACCAAGGTTCTTATGCAAAGCCCTAACTGATATTGGCTTGGTAGGATCTCCAGAAAAGGAAAGGCGATTCAATTAATGGATGGAAAGCCAGCTGTCTGCCAATCGAAGTGGACTAAGATGTTTTGAACCAAGCTCCTCATGCCTAACTGATATTGGCTTGGCAGGATCTAAGAAAAGGAAAGGCGATTTCTCAGGATGAAAAGGAAAGGCATTCAATTAATGGATGGAAAGCAAGCTGTGCCAATCGAAGTGGACTCAAAGAAGTTTTGAACCAAGCTTCTTATACAAAGCCCTAATTGATATTGGCTTGTTAGGATCTAAGAAAAGGAAAGGCGATTCAATTAATGGATGGAAAACAAGCTGTCTGCCAATCGAAGTGGACGCAAGTTTTGAACCAAGCTTATGCAAAGCCCTAACTGATATTGGCTTGTTAGGATCTAAGAAAAGGAAAGGCGATTCAATTAATGGATGGAAAGTCTGCAATCGAAGTGGACTGTCTGCTGCAACTCGAACTGATATTGGCTTGGTAGGATCTAAGAAAAGGAAGGCGATTCAATTAATGGATGGACCAAGCTGTCTGCCAATCGAAGTGGACTTAAGATGTTTTGAACCAAGCTTCTCAGCCCCAACTGATATTGGCTTGGTAGGATCTAAGAAAAGGAAAGGCGATTTAATTAATGGATGGAAAGCAAGCTGTCGCCAATCGAAGTGGACTCAAGATGTTTTGAACCAAAGTCTTTATGCAATGCCCTAACTGATATTGGCTTGGTAGGATCTAAGAAAAGGAAAGATGATTCAATTAATGGATGGAAAGCAAGCGTCTGCCAATCGAAGTGGACTCAAGATGTTTTGAACCAAGCTCCTATGCAAAGCCCTGATATGATATTGGCTTGGTAGGATCTCAGAAAAGGAAGGCGATTCAATTAATGGATGGAAAGCAAGCTGTCTGCCAATCGAAGTGGACGATCAAGATGTTTGAACCAAAGTCCTTATGCAAAGGCCTAATTGATATTGGCTTGGTAGGATCTAAGAAAGAAAGGCGATTCAATTAATGGATGGAAAGCAAGCTTGTGCCAATCGAATCGAAGTGGACGCAAGAAGTTTTGAACCAAGGTCCTTATGCAAAGCCCTAACTGATATTGGCTTGGTAGGATCTCAGAAAAGGAAAGGCGATTCAATTAATGGATGGAAAGCAAGCTGTCTGCCAATCGAAGTGGACTCAAAGATGTTTTGAACCAAGGTCTTATGCAAAACCCTAACTGATATTGGCTTGGTAGGATCTCAGAAAAGGAAAGGCCATTCAATTAATGGATGGAAAGCAAGCTGTCTGCCAATCGAAGTGGACTCAAGAAAGTTTGCACCAAGGTCCTATGCAAAAGCCCTAACTGATATTGGACTCAAAGGAAAGGCGATTCAATTAATGGATGGAAAGCAAGCTGTCTGCCAATCAAGTGGACTGATGTTTTGAACAAGGTCCTCGTGCCCTAACTGATATTGGCTTGGTAGGATCTAAGAAAAGGAAAGGCGATTCAATTAATGGATGGAAAGCAAGCTGTCTGCCAATCGAAGTGGACTCAAGATGTTTTGAACCAAGCTCCTCATGCAAAGCCCTAACTGATATTGGCTTGGTAGGATTCAATAAGAAAAAGGAAAGGCGATTCAATTAATGGATGGAAAGGCGATTCAATTAATGGATGGAAGCTTGTCTGCCAATCGAAGTGGACGCAAGAAGTTTTGAACCAAGCTCCTTATGCAAAGCCCAAACTGATATTGGCTTGGTAGGATCTAAGAAAAGGAAAGGCGATTCAATTAATGGATGGAAGGCAAGCTGTCTGCCAATCGAAGTGGACGCAAGAGGTTTTGAACCAAGCTCTTCATGCAAAGCCCTAACTGATATTGGCTTGGTAGGATCTAAGAAAAGGAAAGGCGATTCAATTAATGGATGGAAAGCAAGCTGTCTGCCAATCGAAGTGGACGCAAGATGTTTTGAACCAAGCTCCTTATGCAAAGCCCTAACTGATATTGGCTTGTAGGATCTAAGAAAATGAAAGGCGATTCAATTAATGGATGGAAAGCAAGCTGTCTGCCAATCGAAGTGGACGCAAGAGAAGTTTTGAACCAAGCTCCTTATGCAAAGCCCTAACTGATATTGGCTTGGATAGGATCTAGGAAAGGCGATTCAATTAATGGATGGAAAGCAAGCCAAAAGGAATCAAGGCGATTCAAAGCCCCAACTGATATTGGAGGATCTAAGAAAAAGAAAGCGAATTAATGATGGAAAGCAAGCTGTCTGCCAATCGAAGTGGAATCAAGATGTTTTGAACCAAGTTCCTTATGCAAAGCCCTAACTGATATTGGCTTTGTAGGATCTAAGAAAAGGAAAGGCGATTCAATTAAATGGATGGAAAGCAAGTTGTCTGCCAATCGAAGTGGACGCAAGAAGTTTTGAACCAAGGTCCTATGCAAAGCCCCAATTGATATTGGCTTGATAGGATCGTTCAATTAATGGATTGGCTCTGCCAATCGAAGTGAAGGATCTCCTAAAAAGCCCTAACTGATAAAAGGAAAGGAAAGGAAAGAAAAGCGATTCAATTAATGGATGGAAAGAAAGCTGTCTGCCAATCGAAGTGGACATAAGAAGTTTTTTTGAACCAAGCTCCTCTGCAAAGCCCTAACTGATATTGGCTTGGTAGGATCTAAGAAAAGGAAAGGCGATTCAATTAATGGATGGAAATCAAGCTGTCTGCCAATCGAAGTGGACTCAAGATGTTTTGAACCAAGCTCCTCATGCCCTAACTGATATTGGCTTGGTAGGATCCCAGAAAAGTAAAGGCGATTCAATTAATGGATGGAAAGGAAGCTGTCTGCCAATCGAAGTGGACTCAAGATGTTTTGAACCAAGCTCCTCCTGCAAAACCCCAACTGATATTGGCTTGGTAGGATCTCAGAAAAGGAAAGGTGATTCAATTAATGGATGGAAAGCAAGCTGTCTGCCAATCGAAGTGGACGCAAGATGTTTTTGAACCAAGGTCCTGCAAAGCCCTAACTGATATTGGCTTGGTAGGATCTAAGAAAAGGAAAGGCGATTCAATTAATGGATGGAAAGCAAGCTGTCTGCCAATCGAAGTGGACGCAAGAAGTTTTGAACCAAGCTCCTTATGCAAAGCCCTAACATATTGGCTTGGTAGGATCTAAGAAAGGAAAGGCGATTCAATTAATGGATGGAAAGCAAACTGTCTGCCAATCGAAGTGGACTCAAGAAGTTTTGAACCAAGCTCTCAACTGATATTGGCTTTGTAATCTAAGAAAAGCCTTCAACAGATATTGGTCTTCGAAGTGGAGGATCTTGAAACCAAGGTCCTCATGGCAAAATCTGAATTGGTAATTCAGGAAAGGAAAGGCCATTCAATTAATGGATGGAAAGCAAGCTGTCTGCCAATCGAAGTGGACGCAAGATGTTTTGAACCAAGCTCCTTATGCAAATGTTTTAGCCCTAACTGATATTGGCTTGGGATCTAAGAAAAAGGAAAGGCGATTCAATTAATGGATGGAGGGCAAGCTGTCTGCCAATCGAAGTGGACGCAAGAAGTTTTGAACCAAGGTCCTTCATGCAAAGCCCTAACTGATATTGGCTTGGTA